AGAGAGAGAGAGCGAGGGAGAGAGAGAGAGAGAGAGAGAGAGAAAGAGAGGGAGAGAAAGGGTAGGAGGGGGAGAGAAACAACTATGTGAGAGAAAGAGAAGATACAAAAATATGGGGGTAAATACAAAACCAGCCTCAATATATCCACCAGCTTATGTTTCAGTGAGATTTAAAGTTTCAAAGGGGAGCAAAGCACACACATTTTAAAGTCCGTCATCTTGACTTGTGAGTTATTTATAATCATGCTGATCTCGTGGCCTCTTTTCATGTTTACCTCCTTTTATTCCCATGGCATATCGATCACTTTGACTCATAACATTTACATTCAGGCCGGGGAGTCCACTCTCCGAGTCAGACAACAGACGGGAAGTGGATGAGACACCAATTCTGGAGTCGTTTGGGTGGCTTGGAGTGTCAGAGACTTAAGCCGCCAATCTCCTCAGTGGCTCTCTGCCAGAGCCTGACGTTTGTGTCTGATACGGATTTTTAAAGTATTATTGCAACGGATTTACAGGGCGATTTCTCTTGCATGCTTCGTGCACACGCATGCTAGAAAGGGTCAGCAAGAAAATAATACCTCCCCCCTCTCTCCACTGGAAGAGAGGAGGAATGAATTCATTGACTGAGAAAGCGAGATGGCACGAACACTGGCTTCCTGTTTCTTTTCTTGAAGTCACGGGCCTAGTTTGAACTTGACTTTCTCGCACTGTCTTCAGTTGTAATCTCATTTTGCTCACGCGTGATCCGAAATGGTTTCTCGATAACGATCGCCTTCACCAGTCAATTCAAAGCTGGTTCATTGTGAAAGACCTTTTCCAAATAAGGAAATTGTCAATCTGAACGTTTTCTTCTCTTTAGAGTGAATTGACTTTCTTCGATATTCGAGTCACAGCTCGGGCTAAGCCTTGTTTTCTCAAAAAGCTTAATACTGAATACGGTGGAGATGTCACTGGTTTTTCTTGTGCAGTTAATTTCATAGCAGTTTAAAGGGAGACCACCACATAAATAGAACTGTGTTAATCAGATTGGTACAGTTTGTACATCTTTACCTAATGCCTTCTTTATTAATTGTAGTGAAGTACTATCGATCAGGCTGACTTCATACCGAGATACTGTGCCAACCACCGTGCTTTAAAAGTCAAAAGAAGTCAACCAAATTTTAAGAAGGTTATATCGGGGTTTCAAACCTCGGTCACCCACACCACGACCGAGCGGTATACAAGCTGATCGACTGTGGCACGCACACTGGAGAGAGCCTCCAAAACTGCTACTCAAATCTGCAGGAGAAAACGATGTCTGTAACGTTGGGATGAGAACTCTGTATGAATGTTCTATGCTGGACACAGACATGATGTAAGGAAAACAGTTTGAAAAATACAACAACAAACAATTCTTAGTTTGGTGCCTAAAGCTTTCAAAGTGCATGTAAAAGGTCTCTCAATCTGAAATGGCCCAGACTTCCCAAGGGCGCTGCAGGGGCGGGTCTACTTTCTTCAGCTTGCGGGTGTATTAAGTTTGATTATTATCGTCACTCATCACGCCAACAAGGGATAAATCCTGGCTCTGGGTGTGGGTGTTTCTTATTTGGTTTCGTTCGACTGAGACCAAAACTATGAGAGGTTGATCCACTTTTTCACTCTCTTATCCACCTATGCGTTCATACATCATTCTAGTTGCCCTTCTGTTTCCTCATTTCCATTATTTTCTTTGTGTATACGCTCTTTCGGCAATAATCATTCTTGTGTATGTCCATCCATCTATCCTCTCATACTCACAAAGATTCATTTTCTATCTATTCTTCTTCATTCATCCTTATATCTTTCGGTTTATTTCTTAATCCATCCTTCTTTTACTCCATTTATATAACCCCATCTTAAAATACTTTGTCTCTCTGATTGTGTATTCATTTCTATCCACACACACACACATACGCAAAGAAACAGAACAGACAAAAAGAGAGACAGAGAGAGAGAGAGAGAGAG